CAATATCTCTCTCTCTCTCTCTCTCTCTCTCTCTCTCTCTAATGTGGGATTTAGGCCCATCGGTTCTCTTTTTTTGGTAGGGACCAGTGTTCCCTCTAAGCTGAGTTAGTGTGAGCTAGCTCACAGTTTTTTAGCCTCCGGCTCACACATTTTTGTCTTAGCCCAGGAAGGATAGCTCCAGAGCAAACTAATTTATGCAGTAGCCAAATCACTCGCTCACAACTTTAATGCCAGGAGCTCACAAAGTAGAATTGTTGCTCACAAGACTCCACAGTTTACAGGGAACATTGGTAGGGACCCGTATGTCTGCTATAGAGAGTGAAAGGACACCGCTGACATACGACATCAGAAGACGAACAAGTGAGACGGTATGGCTGGTGTTGTTAGGGCTGGTTATTGTGTTGGCAGAGTGGATATGAGGACAGAGGTGACATCTTGGTTTGTTGCGAGTCCTGGTCCCAAAGTCTGTGCCCACGTTAGGATCTGAATACAGTCTCAGCTGTTGTTTGGATCTATTTATGTGCCAAGAGAGGAATTCTTAGCTTGCAGTGCTCCTAGGCGTGCTCACTTGACAGCAAGTCCCCCTTTGAACCAGTTTGGTTTGAAGGAAGTGTGCATAGGGACTGAGCTGTTACCCTTTCTCAGAACCCACCAACCTAGAATAAAAAAAACACAAAGTATTTCTGTGGAGCCCCACTTTGGACTGTTCTAACGGAGCGGATTTCCCTTCTGCACTGTAATTGCTCAAGGCAACCTCAGAAGACAGGCCATTGTACCCTCTTCCCAAATGTTCCCGAGGTAGAGAGGCTGATTGGAAAGAAGCACAGCCAGAGAAAAGGGTCACACAGAGATGCAGCAGGCATCCTCTCGTGCAGGTGGATTTTTGCAGCTTCAAGCAGACTTTCAGTTTGTTTACAGTGCAGTCCTAAGCCTTTAAGTCCATTGAAGAAGAAGAAGAAGAGATTGGATTTATACCCCGCCCTTCACTACTGAAAGGTGTCTCAGAGCAGCTTACAAACTCCTTTCCCTTCCCCTCCCCACAACAGACACCCTGTGAGGTAGGTGGGGCTGAGAGAGCTCTGACAGAAACTGCTCTTTTTCAAGAACAGTTCTTATCAGAACTACGGCTTGCCCAAGGTCATCCAGCCAGGTGCAAGTGGAGGAGCGGGGAATCAAACCCGGTTCACCAAGATTAGAGTCCGCGCACTTAACCACTACACCAAACTGGCTCTCGACTTGACTTCAACGGACATGTGAGGGTACCTGCAGGGAACCCAAAAGGACTTGCAGGGGGCATCTCACTTTCCCCTCACCCACCATTTCCTCTTTCTCTTCCTTGAAAGCCCCCATAGGCTCACCTCTTTCCCTGCTTCCTTCCCACCCCTCAGCCAACGCCCCTGTCTTCACCTTTCCCTCTCCCTAGCATCCTCTGCTTGTGCATACTAGGGCCCAGTTGTGTGGTGAACAACCTCCAAGGACATGGGGAAGGGCACTTCATTTTGCCTTCTCCTCCCCACAATAATTCCTCTTTTCCTCCTCCTGGCAACCACCCCAATCCTCACATTTCCATGCTTCCTTCTACCCCCCCCCAACCAGCCTACCTTTTATCTGTCTCATCATCTTCAGCTGTACTTACTATTTACTTCCTTTATACCCCACCTTTCTCCACAATGGGGACCCAAAGCAGCTTACAGCATTCTCCTTTCCTCCATTTTATCCTCATAACAGCCTTGCTGCAAGTGTGTGTTGCAATCTTGAGTATGCTGTTCAGGTGTGTATCTGTAAGCTGCAGACCTACAATGACGCAGCAGCAGAACTGGAAAAAGCAGAAGACAGCCAGTTCCACTGCAGGCCTGATAGAAGTCCTCCAGGGGCCTGATCCGGCCCCTGGGCCGCATGTTTGACACCCCTGCACTACACCATACTGCCTTTTGTAGTGTTGCTACTGATGGACAGTAGCCAGCAGATGGGCCAGACTCAGTCATACAAGTCACACAATAGCAAGCTGCCCGAGATTTCTGCCAGGCCTGGCCTGAATAATCCCTCCCCTCAAAGGCCAAACAGCGCTGCAAAGAACTCTCCCCCTGCCTTTTTCTGACAGATACCAAGGCTTGAAGCCTGGCAATACTGTTGCGGTTGCCTAGCAACGGCTACTAAGGGAATTAATGTCTTAAAAGGCACAAGTGTTGCTTCTGTCCTTTTGAGAACACAAAGAAACTTTTTGTTACCGAGACTCATGAGAATTCCAGTGTGGGTGTGGTAGCTATATTATTCTAATTTAACAAAACAAAACAGAAGTCTAATGGCACCTCAAAGATTAATAAAACGTATTCTAGTATCAGCTATTGTGAGTCGGAACAACTCACTTCCTGCCTGAGGTGTGTGATCCAGTGTGCTGTAGTGGTTAAGAATGGCAGACTTGAAACTGGAGAACTGGGTTTGATTCCCCCACCTCCACATGCAGCCAGCTGGGTGACTTTGGGTCAGTCACAGTTCTCTCAGAACTCTCTCAGCCCCATCTACCTCACAGGTGATTGTAAGCTGCTCTGAGACTCCTTCAAGTAGTGAAGGTATAAAATCAACTCCTCCTCCAATACAATGCAGAAAAACAATTTCCCTTATTTTTTCCTGTTTCCCTTCTGTGATTTTCTATAAAAATAAGGAATATGATTTTCTTTCTTCTCACAGCTTATGAGTACGTGAGCCCTGCTCCCCAAAAGTCACATTGGAACAAAGATTTATTTTATTATATTGCATTTACATTAGTCATCTTACACCTTTCTCACCCATACTCAAGGCAGATTACATAAGGTAAATCAATACAATCAACAAGCTGGAGCATCCAATAAATAATGTAATAGAATTAGGTTTGCCTAAATTCCAAAACAAAGCTTAGTTCTCAGGAGTGTCAGTCTTCAAGGTACCATGGGACTTCTTCTTTGGAAAACATTAGGGATCATTAATTTTTTTTTTACAAAAAAGTGCAGAAGGCGATGAGGGAAATGATTTTCTTGCTTCCCATTCTATCTGAGGCAGTGAGATCTGAATAGCGACAGCTCACACTGGAATGAATGCTGTCGATATTGAAGGTGCCCCTGGACGTCTCCCTTGCAAACCCAGTTCCTGGGATTCCACTGCGAGTCTGCGATTGGTAGCGTGGGTAGAGAGACTTACAATTCCCTAGAAGCCATACGTGGCGTTAGATACCATGACATCATTTCCCAAGGCATACAATTCCCAAGATTCCATAGGAGGGCGCCGCACTACCGTCTTCGACGACGCCTTCCCCGATCAGTACGCATGCGTGGTGACCGTTACGCCTTTCTCGCCTTTTTCACTGGATGCATCCATCAATAACATTAGGGGGGAGAAGACAAAGGCCCCTTTATTAATGGCCGGTCTCCAAAGAGTTTTATCCCTTTTCTTTTATCGAGAAGTAGCATAAAGAGAAGCGTATGGGGGGGGGGGGGGGGGGGGGCGCCTGTGAATCCAGACTCTATCCTCCCCCCCCTCACCTCTTGTTAGCTTTGGTTCAGTCCGCCCAATGGTCGAGCAGCGACCTGACAGCAACTGCGCAGGCGCATAAAGTACTCAGGCACGCGTGAGGCTTGGCGTAAGTACGGGAGGCAGGAAGTAGGGGGGAGACTCCGTTCTGTTACTATGGAGACGAGGGGGAAGGGGGTAGGCGAGCTCTCTAGGAATGGGATGGGGGGTTCTGGAGGAATTGCTGCTAATTTTGCATGCCTGTAAATTGTGCGTTTGTAGAGGTTACGATTTGTGAAAAGGAGGAAGGTGGTTGGAAGAGTATCAGGCGTGCCCTCCCTGTTTTCCTTTTTCTAAAAAGGACTGCGTGGAAGGAAAACGAGGTGGTGCTAATTTGGATGTGTTTGCATACTTGATTGTTGTAGGGTTGCCAATTTCAGGCTTGGAATTTCCTGGAGATTTGGGGTGGAGGAGCCTGGGGGGCGCAGGGACCTCAGTGGGGTAGAACGCCATAGAGTCCACCCTCCAAACCAGCCATTTCCTCCAGGGGAACTGGTCTCTTGTCGCCTGGAGATCCGTTGTAATTCTAGGAGGTCTCCAGGTCCCACCTGGAGGTTGGCAACTCTTTACTGTCTATTGACCGTCTGTTCCCCCCATAAAGTGCCTCCCCAGAACCCTATTATAAAATTACCATCTGAAATAACTGTAACAAAGATAACTTGAAATGCATTTATTGCATGCATCGTTTTAAAATTCGAAGTTTGGATATTTACAAAATGAAGGTGAGTTGGGGGGGGCACTCTTTGCTATGGAATGTGCCCTGCCTTGATTTTGTCATTTTAATTCAGTGGCTTGCGATGCTCCCTGTAAGCCGTGGAGTCTTGTGAGGGAAAAATTCTACTTTGTGAGCCACTGGCATTAAAGTTGTGAGCAAGTGATTTGGCCGCTGCATAGATTAGTTTGCTCTGGAGCCCTCCTTCCTGAGTGACCACAAAAATGTGTGCGCCAAAGGCCAAAAAACTGTAAGCTAGCTCACACTAACTCAGTTTAGAGGGAACACTGGTGGCTTGTAGCTGTGAAAGTTTAATTGAACACCCGTGCTCAGGGGCACTCTATCTCAGTATAGCGGTTGCTGCGACCAAACAACTGCAGTTTTCTGTTTCTATATTGACCTTTGATTGGATTCAGCTTAATTTTCAGCGCTGAGACTCATCTCTTGGGGGCAAGCTGATGACGCAAAACAGGGTGGGAAATGTGCAGCAAGAATGTTTGCAAACTATGTGCAAATTATTGCCAGTGGCCAGCAGAATGGAAGCCTTTCCTCAAACCACTTGAGGGTTTACCAATGTTCCCTCTAAGCTGTGGAGGCTTGTGAGCAAAAGTTCTGCTTTGTGAGCTGCTGGCATTAAAGTTGGGAGCAAGCAATTAGTTTGCTCTGGAGCCCTCCTTCCTGAGCGGAGACAAGAATGTGTGAGCCAGCGGCTAAAGAACTATGAGCTAACTCACACTAACTCAGCTTAGAGGGAACACTGGTTTAGACAAGTCTTTCAAAAAACTTGAGCATTTGTAAGGAGCCATTTGCTCTTCTTTGAGAGACCTCCAAAGCTCACCTGGATTTTGAGGGGAAATCCTGCTTTGGATCCATTTTCAAGTCCTTGCATGGATGCCTTAATATTTTTAGCTTTCAGAAAGCTTCACATGTTCTTATCATTACGACATCGTTGTTCTTATCATTATGACATCCTTGCAGCATGATGTTCTTATCATTACGACATCCTTGTTCTTATCATTATGACATCCTTGCAGGGTAAGCCGTGTGTTCTCTCTCACACACACCTCCTCGTTAGGGTTGTCGACCCCCTGGTGTTGGCTGGAGGTCTCCCACTATTACAACTGGTCTCCAGGTGACAGGGATGAGCTTATCTGGGAAAAATGGCCACTTTGAAAGGTAGACTCTATGGCATTATACCCCGTTAAGCCCCTCCCCAAATCCCGGTCTCCTCAGGCTACACACCAAATATCTCCAGGTATTTCCCAACCCAGAGCTGGCAACCCTACTTTCGGTATCGCAGAAAATGGGCTGAAGGAGGAGGGGCTTGTTTAAGGCTGCCTGGTGAATTTGTGGCAGAGCCGAGATTTGAACCTGGGACCTTCCTAATTGCACCTTGTGGGGGACTTTTGCAGACACTCTCCCTTCCATGGGATACCTGCAATTTCCCCTTTTCATGGTGTTCCCGGGGAGCCCTTGTCGCCAGTGTTCCCTCTAAGCTGAGTTAGTGTGAGCCAGCTCAGAGTTTTTTAGCCTCTGGGCTCACACATTTTTGTCTCAGCTCAGGAAGGATGGCTCGAAAGCAAACTATGGCCCCGGTCACGCGGAGCATTAGGCACGCTAGAGAGACGGAAGATAGGCGGATTTTCCGGGCGCGATCTCACCGCCACATCTGGGAAGCGTAGAGCTCCCGTGGCTCACCCGAGGCTTCACTCCGAAGATGCGCTGTAAAAAACTAGTACCTCCGAGGTACTGGTTTCCAGAAAGCGCGGGGCAAGGGCGGGCGTCAGATCACGTTTCCGGTGTTAGCTCGTGGCATCTGGCGCCCGCCCATGTCCCGTCGCTAAAAGGGGTTTTTTTTGTCAAGTCTCCACGGCGCGTGCGAACACTTGGGTTAAAAAAACCAGCACAACCCCCGCGGGGCCGCTTCTTTGCCGCGCCGCAGGAGTGAGGTATGATCGGCACCTCCTCCCAACCATGGGACGTCGGGCGGGACGTTTGATCCGGCTTGATCCGGCTGCCGTGCGGTAGTTTGCTCTGGGGCAAACAGCCACGCCTCCCCCCCCCCCGCGCGCGCGATATCCGGCCTGTGTGACCGGGGCCTAATTTATGCAGTAGCCAAATCACTCACTCACACCTTGAATGCCAGGAGCTCACAAAGTTGAATTTTTGCCCACATGACTCCACAGCTTACAGGGAGCATTGCCCAGAGCACCATTCCGGGGGCGGGCACTTTGGGCTGGAGCAAGAGAATGAAGATGCGGAAGTCGAGCTCCGCAGACAGAAATAGTCATTGAGTCGGAGTCTCTGTCTTCCTGATGGACCATGATCCCCTCCTCTCCAAAGCTGCAAGCCATTGAGGGAGAGGTCGGAAGAGAACAAATCTTCATTTACAGTTCTTTTTTTAATAGGCTTGATTTGATCCGGGTGTAGCATCCAAATCTTTTTTCCTGCAGATTGAGGTGTGTATGTAAGAGAGCTATAATTGTTACATGCCAGAGCGGAGGAGTCATGGCTTAAACAGGCTTTCTCTTACAACACACTCGGCTTCAGTGAAGCCACCTTGGAGCAAAAGTCTTATGGGAGAATCACTCCCACTAAGCTTTTAAAAGCTGTAGTTAGAGCAAGTGATGGTTGCATCTGAGTGGCTGGGAACGGAAGCTTTGCAAACCTGGCTTCCCACCCTGCACATAAACACACATTCCTTCTCTCCTTGGGAGGGACCATGGCTCAGTGGTAGGGCATCTGCTTGGCGTGCAGAAGGTCCCAGGTTCAATCTCCGGCATTTCCAGTTAAAAGGACCAGGCAGGAGGTGATGTGAAGGACCTCCGCCTGAGGCCCTGGAGAGCAGTAAAGAGGGATTGTAGCTCAGTGGTAGAGCATTTGCTTGGCATGCAGAAGGTCCCAGGTTCAATCCCCAGCATCTCCAGTTAAAAGGACCAGGCAGGAGGTGATGTGAAAGACCTCCGCCTGAGACCCTGGAGAGCTGTAAAGAGGGACTGTGACTCAGTGGTAGGGCATCTGCTTGCCGTGCAGAAGGTCCCAGGTTCAATCCCCGGCATCTCCAGTTAAAAGGAAGCCCAAATCTTCTGCTCCAAAAGGAAGACTTTCATCAACATGTTCTTTCCTTATGCAAAGCTGCTTTCAGCTCAAATCAAAGGCAAAAAGTTATTTTTTCTTAAAATATCAGTGTCTTTTGGATGTGCAATATGGCTTTCTGTATCTAATTTCATCACGGTATTTGAATTGCACTGGACTGTGTCTCCTATATTATATTTTGATAGATTTGTCTTTGTTTTTTATTTGAGCACAGTTTATTGTTCTGTGGCTTATTTCCCCTGTGCTGCTCTTTGTTTTTTTGACCTCTATCTTATGTCCAGCTCAAGCTACACAGCCTACTGTGACATATAGTGACGATTTCCAAACTGTAATTGCCCGTATCCTACAGGTGAAATTAGCATCCTGAATTAATATTACTTGAAGTGTGGCCGGAGTCTCTTCCCCCAAAACAAATGACAGAAACAATCTCTTTATTATTGGCTGCAGCTAGAATTACTGTGAGCTCCCATCTCTAGTTCCAGCTCCTGCCAACCTAGCAGTTCGAAATCAAGAAATTGCAAGTAGATAAATAGGTACTACTTCAGTGGGAAGGGAACAGCGTTCCGTGCGCCTTGGTGTTTAATCATGCTGGCCACATGACCACGGAAACGTCTTCGGACAGCGCTGGCTCTTCGGCTTTGAAACGGAGATGAGCACCGCAACCCTAGAGTCGGACTCGACTGGCTTTCGAGCAAGGGAAATCTAAAATTACTGTAGCTGCTAGATGGAAACCAGTCTCAGGCCCGTCATTAGACCTGTGGTATGATAAGCTTTGGATGCTATTTATTATGGGGAAAATAGCGGATGGCATAGCTAATCACACTAACGAGGATGATCAAACACCATTTATATGTAAGTGGTTTCCAATAATTCAGTTTCTCTCAGAAAAGGACGTGGTTCCCTCTTTTGCTAATGATAAATACTGGCTTTGTTTCTGAAAATAGAATTGTTTAAAGTAACATATAGGCTAAAGCTACTAACCCATCAATGAACTGTAAAAGTTCAAAGTTCAAAAAACCTTTATTGGCATAGATCATAATCATACAGTCGCCATTCAGTTCATGGATTTGACACACAGCTTCCTCATTATAATATTTATTTATTTATTTATACTTTAGATTTCTATACCGCTCCAAACCCCGAAGGATCTCTGAGCGGTTTACGCAGTTCCGAATTATCCCTAACTAAGGCCACATATTTACAGGGGTCGGGGCTATAAGGCAGTTACAGAACTTGGCAACCGCTTCAATAACCGCTATATTTTGTGAAGCCAATAAACGATACAACCTTCTGTCATTGGATTGCTTGGCATCATTCTTAAGAATATCTTCTAGATAGGCTGCCTGAATGTCATCATACAAACTACAATAGAGGAATACATGTTCGATTGTTTCAATCTCTGAATCACAATCACAGAACCTTACAGAGTAGGGGATTTTCTTAAATCTTCCTGCTAAAACCGCAGAGGGGAGCAGCAAGATAGATGTTATGTTAATGAGCATAATGATACCTCCTTAAGTATTTAGATAATGTTAACTAATGTTTGTTGTTACTCCTTTTGCTCTTCTCATCATATTGTTGTTATATTCTTGTATCATTACACGTTGAAAACCTTGAATAAACCTTTGTTGATAAAAAAAAGGAAAAAAAAGAAACTTGCATCCGAGCTTAATACCCCAAAAGATCTCCAGATGCCTGCGTTAATTGGGGTCGTCATTGTCCTTGTGTTCGTCGGAAATAATCAGATTGCCGAGTCAGATTCTGGAGAGAGGGAAGTCTCATGGCATCCTCCTCTCTTTGCTTCTCGTCTAGGAGCCTGCCGAGTTTTGGCCTAGGTGGTCCTGCCTCCCCGGGGGCGCCCGGATCCACCCTACCAGACACAGCATGGTGACGGAGAAGGAAATCGAGCGGATCGGCAAGACCCTGGTGGACTCCGGCCAGCCCCTGAAGAGCCGCTTCCGGGCGCTCTTCACCCTGCGTAACCTGGGGGGGCCGGCTGCCATCGAGTGGATCAGCCAGGCCTTCGGGGATGACTCTGCCCTTCTCAAGCACGAGCTGGCCTACTGCCTCGGGCAGATGCAGGACGAAGGAGCCATCCCCATTCTGCTCCACGTGCTACAGGACGCCTCTCAGGAGCCCATGGTCCGGCACGAAGCAGGTGAGGGGAGCTGGGGGCCACACGGGGCTTCTCCTGTTTGCCCCAGAGAACCCTTTTAGCAGGGCTATTTTTGGGCAGGAACGCACAGGAACGGAGTTCCGGCTGGCTCCCGAGTTGGCCACACCCAGCAGGAACTCATTAGCCTAATAGGCCACACCCAACAGAAAAAACTCATTAGGATTGGCTACATTAGGGGTGTGTGGCCTAACATGCAAAGGAGTTCCTGCTACAAAAAAAGCTCGGGTTTGACAACAAGGTAAACAGAATAAGAAGCAAAAGGGGTGTGTGGCTGGATGACCACACTTCTGGTAACATGGGGGTGCGGCCTAATATGCTAATGTGCTGTGCTGTCAAGGGTGTGGCCTAATATGCCAATGAGCGGTGCTGTCAGGGGTGTGACCTATTATGCTAATGAGTTCCTGCTGGGCTTTTTCTACAAAAAAAGCCCTACTTTTTAATATCAGCCAGATTGTTCTGGGGCTTTCGTCCCTTAGCGTACAGGGCAGATTCAGGTGGGGTAGCCGTGTTAGTCTGAAGCGACAGGACAAAGTTTTAGTCCAGTGGCACCTTTCAGATCAACAAAGTTTAATGCTGGGCAGTGTTCCCTCTAAGATGAGTTAGTGTGAGCCGGCTCACAGATTTTTTAGCCTCCAGCTCACCCCTTTTTGTCTTCGCTCAGGAAGGGATGGCCCCAGAGCAAACTAATTTATGCCGTAGCCCAATCGTTTGCTCACAACTTTAATGCCGGTAGCTCACAAAGTGGAATTTTTGCTCACAAAACCCCACAGCACAGAGGGAGCATTGATTCTGGATATACATTTTCGTGTGCATGCACACTTCTTCGAAGTGCTCACGAAAGCTTATACCCCCGAATTAAGCTTTATTGGTCTTAAAGGTGCCATTGAACTCAAACTTTGTTAGGTGCATGCACCCGAAAGCTTATACACGAAATTCAACTTTGTTGATCCTAAAAGTGCCACGGGACTCAAACTTTGTCAGGTGCGTGCACACGAAAACTTATACCCAGAATTGGTCTTGAAGGTGCCACTGGACTCAAACTTTGTTGTGTGCATGCAGACGAAAGCTAATACCCAGAATTAAAGTTTGTTGATCTTAAGCCTGCTGGGCAGTCTGTCTCCATGCCACTTTGTTTTAATCCCACCCTTCCTCTGGTGAGTTCAGAGAAAGGTTTATGGTTTCCCTTTCTCTGTTTTTATCCTCACAGCCAGTGTTCCCTCTAAGCTGAGTTAGTGTGAGCTAGCTCACAGTTTTTTAGCCTCCGGCTCACACATTTTTGTCTCCGCTCAGGGAGGATGGGGCTCCAGAGCAAACTAATTTATGCAGTGGCCAAATCGCTTGCTCACAACTTTAATGCCAGTAGCTCACAAAATAGAATTTTTGCACACAAGACTCCACAGCTTAGAGGAAACATTGCTCACAACAGCCCTGTGAGGCATCCTAGGCTAAGTAACCAGTCAAGGCCATCCAGCAAGCATTGCGGCAGAGAGGGGATCTGAAGCATGTCCTAGTCTGACAGTTCTGCCCCACTACGTCATACTCACTCTCATCCTTCCCCTTCCTCGATCGCTTCCCATCTGTAAGAGCCCCACCGGGCCAGGAGCTGAGGTGTCCCACGGTGTCACATGACTTTTCGGCCCCGCCCCTTCCAGGAGGCAACCAGGAAAGTTGTTTCTGGTCCAGGATGTGAGCGGAGTCACATATTCATTTCAGAAATATTCATGTCACGCTTCCTCCATTTAAGTAAAAAAAAATGCGCAAGGCTGCTTTGTGGAACTTCATTTAAATGACGAAGGCGATGTTAGCAGAAAGGCGTAAAGCTCTGCTCATTTTAAATAATGAGCAGTTGGCATTAAATGGGATTTGCACCGACTGTAAATGAACCGGGAGAAAATTGTGTAATTTCACTGGGGGGCGGTAGGGCAGGGATCGCACGTTAGCTTCAGGAAATTTGTTGTTTAAAAAAACACAACAAGAAGCAGCACATTCTGGCACCTAAAAGGACTTGGCGCTAAATAGAGTTGTCAGAAGTTGTTCCAAGGGCTTGGTGCGGCCACCAAAAAGGCCCCCCTCTCTGATGTCTCCTCAGCTTGGACAAAGCATCAGTTTTCTCCCCCTGTTGCTAATGATCTTCCTCGAGACTTCTAATTTCCCTCTGGTTCCCTGCAGGTGAAGCTTTGGGAGCTGTTGGGAACCCCAAAGTGCTGGATGTCTTGAGACTGTACTCAAAGGACCCCGTTATTGAGGTAAATCGGACGGCAAGGCTCTGGGGACAGCCTTGCCCTGCCAAAGCTCCCGGAGGGGCTGTGGCTCAGTGGCAGAGCCTCTGCTTGGCACGCAGAAGGTCCCAGGTTCAATCCCCGGCATCTCCAGTTGAATGGACCAGGTAGGAGGTGATGTGAAAGACCTCCGCCTGAGACCTTAGAGAGTTGTAGAGGGACTGTGGCTCAGTGGCAGAGCCTCTGCTTGGCATGCAGAAGGTCCCAGGTTCAATCCCCGGCATCTCCAGTTAAAAGGACCAGGCAGGAGGTGATGTGAAAGACCCTGAGACCCTGGAGAGCTGTAAAGAGGGACTGTGGCTTAGTGGCAGAGCCTCTGCTTGGCACGCAGAAGGTCCCAGGTTCAATCCCCAGCATCTCCAGTTAAGGATCAGGCTGCCCCTGAAGTCAACTGCCTGCGCCTGTGACCCAGGAGAGCTGCTGCGGGTAGACAGTACTGACCTTGATGGACCAGGGAGCTGATTCAGTATCGGACAGCTTCATGTGTGTTCATTTGTGACAACACGGCCGCAGACAGGGGTGAGGACGTGGGGTTAACCACCCCACCAAAGCACTGTTCTGAAAATCAGGCATTGAGTTTTGGGACGGAAAGCTTTGTTTTTAGCATATGAAAATTCCCGGTTTCAACAAAGGGTCTTCAGCCCGGGGGGGGGGGGGGATAGGCTCCTCGCGAGCAAGGGCATGTGCACAAGTCAGGAGATGGGCATGGCTGGAGCACCGTATGTTTAAAGGGAGGTTGAGAGCGGAGGTGTTCTCCGCTGTCCCCAGATCCAGCAGGAGGAGGAGGAATTGGCTAGGAGCAAGCCCTTTCTGTCTCTCTTGCGGCTGTCCTATCCAAACTCTGCTCCAAAGGAATAAGGATTTTTATTGGATGCAAAGTAAACACATTTGCATAATTTATTCTGGGTTTTGGGGGGGATATTTTTGCATGTGCGTGTGCCCGTGCCTGGAGGTCACGGTGACCTCTGGCGATTCCTACTGAGGCACGGAGGATGTTCAGAGGAGTGGCTTGATAGCCTCCCTCTGCCTCCCTGTCCTGGTATTCCTTGGAGGTCTCCCATCCAAATACTTGCCAGGGTCGGCCCTGTTTAGCTTCAGAGATCTGACTTGCCTGGGCTATCCAGGTCAGGGCCATTTCTTCTGGTTTTGTCAGATAAGGGGGTAGGGAGCAGCGCATAGCAGCCCCTATACCCCCTCGCCCGAAATCTTTTCCCACTCTGCCTGCGGCTTCTGAAATTTGAGCCACACCTCTGCAGTCACGAAGAATCTTTTGTGTTCTTTGTCTGTTTAAAGCAGAAGAGCCGAGGAGCTCCAGTTCGGCAGCCAGTGTCACATTTTCGTCCTGCAGCTTGAAATGCGCGTTGCCCCTGGATAAGGGGGTCTGTCCTTGGTCCAGTCTTTAATGGGTGAATCAGAAAAGGAAGGGAGCCGAGAGAGAATCTTAGTTTGTGTTAAACTTTGCAGGTCGCCGAAACGTGCCAGCTGGCCGTGAAGAGGCTGGAGTGGTTTCAGACGCACCAAGCGGAGCCCTCGACCGGTCCCTACAGTTCCGTGGACCCGGCCCCCCCTGCCCCAGAGGAGGATGTGGGGAAGCTGAGGGAAGCCCTGCTGGACGAATCGCGGCCGCTCTTCGAGCGCTACCGGGCCATGTTCGCCCTACGGAACCTCGGGGGAGAGCCCGCTGTCCTTGCCCTCGCTGACGGTGAGCCGTCGCAGTTCTGTTCCCAAGGCAGGGAGCCGGGACGGGGCTGCAGCTAAGCAGTGGCAGGCGGGCGAGTCCTGGGTTCGAGTGTTGCCACAGGTGTCCTTGCCAAACCGCTGTTTCCCCACCACGACCACCAATACAAAATGGAATTCACTGCCACAGGAGGGGGTGGTGGCTACAAGCATGGATGGCTTTAAGAGGGAATTAGATAAACATCTGGAGCAGAGGTCCATCAGTGGCTCTTAGCCACAAGGTATGGATAGGAACTCTCGGTCTGGGGCAAGTGATGCTCTGTATTTTTGGTGCTTGGGAGGGCTCCTAGTGTCCTGGCCCCACTGCTGGACCTCCTGATGGCACTTGGTATTTTTGGCCACTGTGTGACAGAGTGTTGGACTGGATGGGCCATTGGCCTGATCCAACATTGGCTTCTCTTATGTTCTTAAAATTGTGGTTTGATTAGGTTAAGTAACTGTGGAGGTGTTATTTTATGGAGCAGTTAGGCCCCGGTTCTCAGCTGGGACTCGAACTCAGAACATTATGTACCGCGGCCCATTTTGGGGGAGGTAGATTCAAGAGAAGAGGTCAGTCTTGTCCTTGGAACAAAATCCCCGGCAGCCCTTTCTTTCCACCCTGGTACATCGCTTGAGGCCAGGCTCAAGTCCCTTTAGGCATCTTGACCCGTCTCACTGCCTCTTTGTCTGCCCCCATTAGGGGTGTGCAAAAAAACAAAAAATTTGGCCCGATTCAGATTCGGCCGAATCCATTTCAGTTGGCAGAAAGACTCCCGCATGTAAATTTCGGCAGTACCAGCAGAGCCAGCCGAATGTCAGTTTCGGCCCCATTATATCCTATGGGCTATTGAAGTCAATGGCGAAAACATAGGGTATATTCTGGGGGCTGGAGGAAAGGGGGTTTGAGGGAGAGGCTCCAAACTCGCAGGATAGCTGCTGGGGCCTCTCCCCAAGATATCTATCAAGTTTCAAGAACATTGGAACAGGGGGTCCAATTCTACAGGCCCCCAAAGAGGTTGCCCCCATCCCCTCCATTGTTCTCTGCTGCTGCTGGTAAGACGTTGCTCCTATCGGAACGCCTGCCTAAAAAGTTCTGTTTTCACGGCCCTGCGGAACTGTGACAAGTCCCGCAGGGCCCTGATCTCGGCAGGAAGCTCGTTCCAATAGGACGGCGCTACAAACGAATTGAGGTCTTTCACATCACCGCCGCCCTGGTCCTTTTAACTGGAGATGCTGGTTACCATCAGCCTGACTTCCTTAGGGCCAGGGAGGGCCAGGCGGTTTTGGGATCCTGATCGCAGTGCTCTCTGGGGAACATATGGGGAAAGGCGGTCCCGCAGGTAGGCCGGTCCCTGACCATAAAGGGCTTTTAAGGTCAAAACCAGCACCTTGAAGCGAATCCGGAATGCTGTTGGGAGCCAGTGCAGAGTCTTAAGCACAGGCTGGATGTGCTCCCACCTGGGGACGCCCATCAACAGCCTGGCCACTGCATTCTGCACCAGCTGCAGCTTCCGGAGTTGCACTAAGGGCAGCCCCATGTAGAGAGCATTGCAGTAGTCCAACCTCAAGGTGACCATA